TAATCCTTCTTATCACCAACTGAGAACCTAGTAGGCGGTCAATGTCACCAGAGTACCATTTTCCACTCGGACGAGAAAAAAAGTACTTCTTAAACCATGGAGAATCTAACTTAGGCGCTCCAAGCACAAAACCAACGCGGGCCTCCCACCTATAGCATGACCAGTAATTATCCGAACAACGCATTTTGTATGGCAAGCGAAATGCATCAAAGGAGGGCGTCTCGCCGAGTTTCTCACAAGCAGCTTGGAAAGCAATGGAGTGAAAAATAATGTCGGGAGGCGGCCCAACATGCAGTCAAGATAAAGTAGAGTTCTCGTCGGGATGGGGAGAAGCGGAAATGTTAGGCCCATCTGAATATGCTCCACGTGAATGGGAATCCATCCACCGGGACAGGAGTCGGGCCGTCCAACAGGCGAAGGAGCCTCATAGTCCCATTATGGCGGGAGACCATGGTTTTTAAGCTAGTGGAGAACCTGGTGAGGTTTATAAGCAGCTTCGTTAGGCGGTCCTTGTTGGTAGGCGGCCTCCGGAACTTCCTCAATCTCCCACATGTCTTCGTGTAACCGCACACGATACGTGATTCATTGATAGCTTGGAACACCTCCACGTGAAGAACATCAGACACTAGGATTGTGACTGGTGTGCATTATCTGCTTCTTGGCGGTCATCAACAACCCGGTCCCCACTGTTTTAGGAAAGGGCAACCACAGGCGTAGTACACGGAGGTTCGCTCTCGGCTTCAGAACAACTAAAGTCTCCAAGGTTGTCGCCAACTGTTGAGAACATTTCCCGCATACCAGCGGAAGTACCGGCATTGACTAGGCAGTCCTTGCCTATCCCTAAAAGGCCATACCAAGACCGCCTAATTTTTTCCCTATATCTGGTTAAAAGCTCAAAAATCGCGCACTAAATCTAAATTCTCTACAACCCATTCTAGGTTAGACTGTAGAAAAGGAAAGAAGTTAAACATACCTTGAGCGGCCTGTTTAAATACAGATGACGCACCGCTAGACCCGCCACCAGTCTTTGGAGAAGATCGAAGAAGACTAGTGCCCGCGCTAGAGGTTCGGACCTCGCCAAAAGTTTTCGTAGCGGCAACGTCGCTGGAAAGGTTTCTGTTCTGACCATCGGAGTGGGTATTTGAGAGTCGATCGCCATTCTCAGTCGTCGTTATTTTTTCTTCTTTCGTTTCTGGGATCGTTTGAGCTTGGCCAAGAAGTTTGCTCGCTCTGGAGAAAGGAGGGGATGTCTCGCAGATAGGAAGAAAGGGAGAATTCTGAGCAGCTAGCAATTTTGGCAGAGTGACGAGTGGAAGGTATAAATAAGAAACCAAAAGGGAAAAAGGGGGCAACGACGCAACGGTTGTGTGACTGAGGCAGAAAACCCTAGTGTACGAATTCAAAATAATGGGCAGGAAAAATGATGTATGGGCTGCCCGTTGTCAGGGCTCGATATTTGAGTGCCGCCATGTGGCTAAGCATGCAGAAGGTAGGGAGAACCGCAAGGAGCAAGCCGCTTTGGGGAGGATCTAGAAGATCACACCTGTCTGTGAAAAAGTAGAAGAGCGTATGGCCCTCTTTCTGTGGAAAATCTCTGTCACTCGTGCGGCCAAGGGCATGATGTAGGATAGCGGTTATATGGGACGGACCGCTCAACATGAATGATAAGAAGATTATAGCTATCAAAACTCGTAGCTTTTCATGACTAAAGGGCAATTGTTGGGCCCATAGTTGAGCGGTATTGGATTCTAGGTCCAATGGGAGTAGATAGGTCAAGCCCAATAGAGAGCCCAAAAGGGAGACGCCCGAAGAAAGGACACAACAGACGGTTGGTCTAGTGACATGACATGTATAGACCGCCTGACATAAAACGATGATTGTGACAGGGGAACGTGATATCTTAAAGATACTTACCTCGAGACAAGAAGGATTGAACATTAATTACCCTCCATAGGCGGCCCAGGTAAAGCATCCCATAGCTGGGACGCCTAACAATGCATTTAATGTCCTAAGCTCTACCTAACTGAGTATAAATACCCCCACACCAGCATTGGTGGTAGCTCAACTACTTCCTCTCTCATTAAATACAAACACATGTTCTTACTTCTCTCTCTAACTTAAACATCGGAGAGTGTCCTGAGCAACCGCTCATGGACCCTTGTCTTGCAGAGTTCGGGAGTAAGCCCTCAATCAAGAACAGACGCCTCGCTCGTGCCTCATCAAATCGCCTAACAAATCCTAGGCTCAAACAGATGTCACTGCAGATAATCCTCGTTTGGTATCTTCCTCTTTTCTTCTCAAATTTGCAATCAAACCTTCACAATCACTCTCAACGATCGATAAGGAGAAAGAAACCTGGATCCAAAGCTTTGTTGGTGAGCACGTACCAGGATAGTAACATTGACATGAAGACTACCACGACTAAAACTTAAGACCCCGTGAATTGGGACCTACGTTTTTTACCTTTTACTAATCTCACTAGGTGATAGGCTTCAATTTCATCTCACTGATGAGAGACGATATATAAATATTGGGATTTCCTAAAGTAACTTGAAGTAAGACAACTTGATTTTTTTTTACCTACGATAGCAGTTTCACAGGTCGCATTACGTAAAATACAATAGGCATTACGTAATGGTTACGTAACATATGGTAATATTACGTAAAAGTTGTAAAAGATCATAACGGAAGCCTTACGTAATAGAATGTGTCTTTACGTAATGAGGATTAAGCTCACGTTACATAAAATGTTAAGTCATTACGGAAGCCTTATGTAACGCTACTAATTTAACTGTAAAATAAGAAATAATTGTCGTTACGTAACCTTTATGTAATGGGAGGTCTTTTTACGTAATAAGTATTAACCTCGCGTTATGTAAAGTGTTAAGTCATTACGGAAGCCTTACGTTACGTTTTCGATTTAACTGTTACGTAAGAAATAACTATCATTTTGTAACATTTACGTAATGAATGTGTATTTTATGTAACAGTTGTAAAATGTAATTATGCAAGCCTTACGTAATGGAAGGTCTCTTTACGTAATGAGTATTAATGTCGTGTTACGTAAAGAGCTAAGTCATTATAGAAGCTTTACGTAACGCTTCCGATTTCACTGTTACGTAAGAAATAACTATTGTTCCGTAACCTGTACGTAATGGAAGGTCTCTTTACGTAATGAGTATTAACCTCACGTTACGTAAAGTGCTAAGTTATTACGGAAGGCTTACGTAACGCTTCTAATTCAATAAGAATTAAAATAAGGAAAGCAAATAATGTGAAAAAGGAAAGAAAAAACAAAGAAAGGTAACTTGCGCGGGGTGGTGACCGGCAACCCTCTCTTGCCAATGATTTTTTACTTATTTTTTTTATTTTTTGTTTCTTTAATCAATGGTTTAAAATAAATTTGATCTATTTTAACGGTTTAGATCTATACAAGTTAGCTGACTTGAAATTATATCTAGTTACTGTAGGAGTTCCCATAAATATTTTTCCATATAGAAAGTTTGTAATCTGAAGATAAGTTAGATGCTTATTTTATCCATCTATGACGACTATACTTGGTTGTTGGAGATGCCCTAAACTAGGAGTGGCAGTTCGGTTTCTAGTTAGCGGCTAACTGACCGATTTAATCGAAAACTGTCGGTTAGCGGCTAACCGAAAACTGACGGAAAACAAGGACGGTCGGTGTTCGGAGAGAGAGCGATTGGCTGCGGTTAGCCGAGTAACCGGAGGCGGTTACCCGAATAACCGTAGTTCACCGACCTCCACCCCCTAAACCCAATTTTCCCACAACCAACTAGGCCACACCCCCAAAAATCCTAATTCCCACACCACATTAGACCTCCGCCGCCTATATCCAAAATCCCAGAAACCCTTCAGTCTTCACCCTTCCATTCTGACTCCCCCCTCCCAATCTGATTCTAGAAAAACCTAGTTCCCAAAATAAATAAAAAACCTTTCCTGCCATTCTCCCCGCGCCGCGCCTCTCCTCTTCATATATCCCCACGACGCTCCTCTTTCGAGACCAGATCGTCGGCCGTTGCTCGTCCTGCTTCGTCGTCGCGCTCGTCCCGCCTCGGCTTCCATCATCTCTGCGTTCGTTGCATCCGCTCTTCCACCAGCCACAACTATCGTCGCCTACGCCTCCGCCCGCGATTCGTCCATCTCCGGCCGAAGCAGCTCGCCTCTGGCCTTGCTCCTCCAGCTGATCGTCGCCGCTCCACCTTCACAGAGGTAGAGAAAGGAGAGAAGAAAACGTGTGGCCTTGTTCTTCTCTTTCTTTTCTTTTTTTTTAATTTTTTATTGCTAGGTAACAAGAGATTAAGAGAGGAGAGAAGAAAACGTGGGTGGGTTGTGGTGTTGTTTTTTCTTTTTCTTTCTTTTATTTTTTTAATAAACTTGGTTAATTGTGATTATGACCAAACCAAAATCGAAAGTCGGCCGGTCGGTGATCGACTAACCGTGACTTCCTTCACGGTCGGTGGTCAGCAGGTATATGGGACGTCTCGATTTAACTGATAACCGAGAAATCGATTTTCGGTTAAACCAAAACCTGCCGACTGACACCCCTACCCTAAGCTAACGATCGAGTAGGTGGTGATTAGTTGAATTGGGGAAGGTGTATAGGAAATTGTACCCTTTTAGTCAACGTTCAGCCATACCTTATAATTCCCTCCCCTCACCCCCAAATTGACTTTGCTTTATATTTCTTTCCGTAAGGGAACAGAAACGCTCAACGACTTATATATATCGACATTTCCCGGTACCGGCCATGTATATAGTACATATATGCTAAATCGGAGGCCGGTTGATTGCTATACATATATATCAAATATAAACTAAACCAATACTTTACTAAGTTCTTTGATTCGCTTGATTATTTTTATATATGGATCAAACCGCCCAAAAGGAGTTATCCCTAATTCCATATTCTAAGTCTCCTTTATATATAAACTCATCGCGTTACGACGAGCTTTACCCGATCCCCAATGGCGTCTCCGATGACTTACCTAGTCTACCACAACGGATACCACGTCTGTGAGCACCATCTCATCGCCGTCATTTACCTTCCGGCGGTCCCACCGACGATCATCTCAGTTAATATTCCACCTCCTCCTCCTCCTCGCCAATTACCGCTCAAAACTGCCACCACAACTCGCGAGGTGTTCATAAACTTTCGCGGCCTCGACGTCCGCAACACGTTCATAGACCACCTCCAAGCCGCGCTCCGGCGGGAGAGAGTCGGCGCGTTCAGGGATGACGTGGACTCGGGCCGCGGCGTGAACGTGAAGCAAGGCGTCCTGCGAGCCATCGAGGAGTCGAGGTTCTACGTCGTCGTTCTGAGCCGGAGCTATGCGTCGTCCAAGTGGTGCTTGGACGAGCTGGTGAAGATCATGCATTGTTCGAATAAGCATAACAAGATTGCGTTTCCTGTGTTTTACCACGTGTCCCCGGAGGATGTCTCCGCCGTCGGCGGGGGCGGGTGCTACAAGGAGGATTTTGACCGGCATAAGAAGAAGTATACTTATGAAAGAGTCGACGGCTGGCTTCAGGCGCTTGCGTGGGTTGTTGGCGTGTCCGGCTGGGTCGTCGCCAGTGACCAGTACGTAATGTCAACTCTTGCGCGTGCACGATTTTTAATTTCTTCATTTCAATCCTTGTCATTACTTTCGTGCTATAGGCTTTTTTGACTCGAAAAAGTTAATGATAGAATATTTTTTTTTATTAAAGTTGCAGTTTACTAGTTTGTTATTTCTACTTATCAATTTGATTCGTTATTTGATATTTCCGATTCGACCGACCAGTACGATAGGATTTCTTAAACATTGATATGTAAAAGTCGATTAGCATTTGAAAAAATCATGCAACGTATAAAAAAAGAAAATACCGCCATAAACTAGAACGAGCTGATCATGGTCAAAATATGGAAGTTGAATGACACTGATTTTGCACGCAGGTCGGAAGCTTCGTTGGTGGAGAGCATTGCCAGAACCGTGCGACGCAAGGTCCGGAATTCCAACTGGCTCATTGGCTAATCCTCCCTTGATAGAGGAGCACTACTCATTGAGATTTCAGAACAGAAACTCACTTCTCTACACTCTGTTTTCCTGTTATTCCACTCTGCCTTTCTGTTTCTTCTCGTTCCTTCTTTGTAGTTGATTAAGCTCAAGTGTATCTCCTGTTGTATAAATACATAATCATCAATAAAGATAAACCAGGATTTTCCAAACACTTTCATGGTATCAGAGCATAATTAAACTCTAACGAGTCATCTCTCTAATCCTCTGTTATTTTATTTTTTTCTACCCCTGGTTCAATGTCGACCATTTCTTCAGCTTCTTCTACCTCTGTTGCTTCTCTTTCCTCAACCTCTGCGCCTACTCTGTCTCTTCCGACCAATCCCCAATTATCTGTGAAGCTCAAACCTAACAATTACCAGTTGTGGAAATCACAACTTCCAACTCTATGAGAAGAAAGTAGATCTAGCAGCTGCTAGGGTTTGCAATTTCAGAGAGAAGTGATTGATTTGGAGGAATTTGGCAGAATGCCTTCTCATTCCATTTTGCGCAGCATATATACATAGTTAGGTAATTACATATTCCTAATCTACTGTTACAAACGGCTAATTGCAACTAATAGGTTAAACTATCCAATTACAGAGGGACAAGTGTCTAAACGAGGATCAGCTACTAAGTGATGTTGGAGAGAACCAAAACACTGTCGTCTTTATTTGTCTACGATCCGGATTTGGTTGGACCGGATTAAAGGAAGCCTGATCCGTCTTCTGACCCGAACCTTTGTACTTCATCTTCTTCCTTCAGCAGAGTGCAGCTCTGTCAAAATGCTTTGTTCTTCCTCTTATGCACTCTACTTAATATGCCCCCTCAAGCTGGCGAGTACATATCATGTACACCCAGCTTGGAGAGCAAGAACTTAAAACGATCACCAGACAGCCCCTTAGTGAATAAATCGGCTAATTGATTCTCGGTATTCAAATGAAATAAATTGAGAAGTCCTGATTTTAACCTTTCCCTGACGACATGGCAATCCACCTCTATATGCTTCGTTAGCTCATGATAAACGGGATTTTCCGCAATGTGAATGGTCGATTGGTTATCACAATACACCTTCACTAGGTTTGAATGTGAGATTCCGAAGAAATTGAGAAAAGCCTTTAACCACTGCACCTCACAGGCAAGTTGCGCCATTGCCCTGTATTTTTCCTCAGAAGATGAACGTGATATTGTACTCTGCTTCTTGCTTTTCCAAGTGATCAGTGAACTACCCAGGAAAGTACAATACCCAGTAATCGATTTCCTTGAATCTGGAAAAGTTGCCCAATCTGAATCACAATACCCACAAAATTGTAAACTGGACGAGGAAGAAAACCACAAACCCTGTGTTGGGCAACTCTTTAAGTACCTCAAGATTCTATGCAGGGCTTTAAGGTGAACTGTAGTTGGGCGTTCTTGCAACTGACTGAGTTGCTGTACAGGAAAACAAATGTCAGGCCTGGTAGACGTCAAATACTGCAATTGACCCAAAAAGGTGCCTGTAAGTTGTGCCATCATCAAGCAAGGTTCCATCTTCCGCAGACAATGTAGTCTTCATACTAATTGGTGTCTTAGCTGGCTTACACTCCAAGAAGTCTGCATTTTCAAGCATTTCCCGACAGAACTTGCGTTGACACAAGAAAATCCCAGCCTGAGTTCTAGCAATCTCCAATCCTAGGAAATAATTTAAATTTCCCAGATCCTTAACCTTGAAACCTTTCTGCAATTGTGTCTTAACACGTTGAATATCCTCCAAATATGGTCTTGCCACAATAATGTCATCAACATAGATGACCAACACCACTGTGGAAGTCTTAAAAACTTAGTAGTCCTCAAACGATTGCTGAAAGCCAAGCTTAGTCAAGAAATCAGTGAGTTTAAGGTACCACTGACGACTAGCTTGCTTGAGCCCATAAAAGGATTTCTTCAATCTGCAGACCTTTCCTTGAAGGTGACTTAGCTCTCTTAAACCAGGTGGGAGTTCCATGTAAATCTCCTCCTCTGAGTCACCATTCAAGAAAGCATTACTCACATCCATTTGATGGAGATGCCACTGTTTAGCTGCTGCAATGGCCAAGAGCAGTTTAACAGAGTTGATCTTGGCAACAGGAGAGAATGTATCAACAAAATCAACCCCATAAGTCTGTGTGTAACCTTTGGCAACTACTCTTGCCTTAAAACATTCTATTGCACCATCAGGTAAGAACTTAGTTTTATAAACCCATTTACAGCCTATGGGAACAACATTAGGTGGTCTGTCAAAAATGTCCCAAGTCTCATTAGCCTCTAAGGCATTTACTTCCTCCTTCATAACTTGATTCCGGCAGGGATGTAGAGCTGCTTGGGCATAGGTCTGAGAGTCTGGAGTCATAGAGATGGAAAGTGTGTAGTGCTTGTGAGAAGGGGATAAGTGAGAGTAAGAAAGGTTGTGAGAAAGGGGATACAGAAGCTTGTCATCAAAGGAGGTGGAACAAGCCTGAGATAGAAAAGAAGTATGAAAGGAGTCAAGATGCCTAGGAGGTCTGGTGACTCTTTGAGGCTTGCAAAGGGAAATAGGAAGGGAAAGATGTGGAGAAGAAGTAGAAGGTGTGGGAACTGGAGGAGTTGGTGGAGGAGAGGAAGACATAGGTGAGGGAGGTGGTGTAGGTGGGTAATCAAGATCAGTAGTTTCATGGAGGTTATGATCCTGAGGAAGAGGAAGATCATCATCGAAGAGAAAGGGAGGAAGATGATCTGGAGGGGAAGAAGTAGTAGGGGCGGTGGTTGAGAAGTTAATAAAGGGAACTCAGACTCATTAAATTCTACATCCCTGCTGGTAAACACTAAATGACTTGCAAGATCATAGAGTTTAAAACCCTTAATACCAAAACTGTATCCAAGAAAAACTTCCTTTACAGCTCTAGGTGCAAACTTAGGCTTATGATCCTCAGTATTTGTGGCAAAGGCAAGGCAACCAAAGACTCTAAGGTTGCTATAATCTGGTGGTATTCCAAATAAAGTCTCAAAAGGAGACTTATTGTTCAAAACAGGAGTAGGTGTCCTGTTAATGAGATAGACATGCATCACAAAATGACTCCATAAGCTAATTGGTAGTCCTGACTGAAATTTTAATGCCCTGGCCACGTTGAGAATGTGTTGGTGCTTTCTCTCAACTCTACCATTTTGTTGAGCAGTATGCACACAACTCATCTCATGGATACATCCCTGCTGCTGATAAAAGGAAGACATCTTGAATTCCTGCCCTTGATCAGAACGTACAACCTTCACTTTCTTACTGAACTGAGTCTCAACCATTGCAAAGAAAGATTGAAGTAAACCCCTGACTTCATACTTGTGACTCATCAAGTATAACCAAGTACAACGACTATGATCATCAACAACAGTAAGGAAATATTGGTATCCATCATGAGAAACAACATTAACTGGCCCCCAAATGTCACAGTGTATTAAATCAAAAGGTGCTTTGGAACAAGAAGTGCTTTTGGGAAATGGTAAGCGCTTTTGTTTAGACAAATGACAAACCTCACAATCAAAACCCTCTGGTAATTCAACCTCAGTACAAGTTGGTTTGATTTTTCTCAACCTATCTAAAGAAAGATGGCCTAGTCTCTTGTGCCATAAACTGAAACTCTCTTGATTGGTGTTCACTCCAAAAATCTGTGGTTTGCAAGTCTCTCCTGGCCACTGGAATCTCCAAGAAGGTAAAGTCCTCTACTTACTAGGATTAAACCAATCCTCTGTCGAGAGATAAGGTCCTGGATGTGACAAAAAGTGGATTAAAACAGCAATGAGACAGGACTGTTTTTGGTAAGCTGACTAACTGAAATCAGGTTATAAGAGAAGGAAGGTACCAAAAGCACATTGGTAAGAAAAATCCCACAAGGCAACTTAACAACACCTAAATGTGTAACAGATGCTTGTTGGTCATTTGTAAGTATAACTGACACATCATTGACCCTTTTACACCTCAAGAACAAAGTGATAGAACAAATGATATGATCACTTGCTCCTGTATCCAAAACCCACACACATTGATTGCCATTATGTGCTAAAGTGGAGAGTGATAGAATACCTGACATAGGTTGTGATCTAGAGACCACATAATTAGCTTGAGAAGGCCCATGTGAACTGGAAGCTGGCTGCAATATAGCCTTGAGCCTTGTGAGTTCATCAACAGTGAAACCAGAGAAGGTTGGGGAATGTGGTTCCTGTTGACTTATGGGACTGGTAGGAGAATAGGAACCAGCTCCTCCTGAAGCATTGCCCTCTGCAGCATTGACATCAACACAACCAGCAAACCCTCTTCCTGGGTTGTTTCCTCTTCCAGGGTTGTTTCCAAGTAAGCCACTCTTTTTTTTTTAGTTTCCAGCAGTCCTCCTTTACATGGTTGTCCTTTTTGCAATATCTGCAAAAGAGGCCTCCTGGTTGATGCTCAGATTGATTCTTATCCCTTGATTGATTGTACTGATTGTACTGAGACCAGGAAGCTGCAAGTGCAGTGGCTAGTGCTATGGCTTCCTCAGATTTGCCAGCATAAGCAGTAGTACCATTAATCTGTCTTTCAAGCTGCACAACAGAGCGATAGATGCTATCCAAATATGAGAGTGGGTCTAACATAAGCATTTGAGTCTTCACCTGCTGGTATTTTTCATTCAGACCCAACAAAAAACGAATCACTCTTCCCCTCTCCTCATACCTCATGACAGTTGCATAGGTACCAGCAGCACAATCACAGTAAGGAATTGGTTTATAGGTTTTCAATTCATCCCAGGCTAACTTTAGATTGGTAAAATACTATCTAACAGTTTGGTTCCCTTGTTTGGCTAAGTCAACCTTCTCCTGGAGATTAGCAATTCTTATAATATCACCTTGGCTAAACTTGGATTTCAGGTAAGTCCAAGCTTCTGAAGCAATCCTAATGTTGCGAAAACTAGAAACGATGTCCTCTGATACAGAGTTTCTAATCCATCACACTACTGTACCATTCACACGATCCCAAGTTCCATAAGATGGATTTGTCAAAGAAGGTACCTGAATCGTGCCCAGAACGAAACTCATCTTGTTTTTCGTGCGCAGTGCAACCTCCATGGACTCGCTCCAAAGGAGGTAGTTGTCATCTGTCAACTTGAATCTGATCACCGGAAGCAACGAGTTGTCCCTTTGAGCAAAGTAGAACGA